TCTACCCAAGCGAACTATTGCAAAGGCTCTTTTCTGTAATAACTGGCGCGACTAAGTGACGAGTGGTTCCAACTCGTTTTTCCAGAGCATCGAAAACTGAGAGAGATATTCATAAAATACTGAAAGGCTTATTCTTTATTCGCTACCCGCTATAAGATTGTTCAAGGTTTTCCCTGTAAGCAAGTGTATAAGAATTTGATAAGATTTTCATAAAGGTTGGGAAGAAAGACATTAGAAATCTTCAACTCGAGTGCCAGCCAAGAAAAAGCTTGATCTGCAGTTCTACGAAATATTAGTATTTCATCGAAAGTGCATGAGTGATACAAAAACTGAAAAAGAAATAAATCGTACTTAACGAGCATCGAACCCGTAATCTTCCGTTCGGCTGTCTGGGCATCTTATAATTGTTAAGCCGTAAGTGCTTACTCTTTTTATATTATCATATCAACTTACTTTAGATAGGAATGAAAGTTCCGTTGAGAACTAGTATAAATTAACTAGTTTAACTTAGGATTAATCCATTCTAAGTTAATAAAATGTTTAGACTTTTATAAACAACAGCTGTACGAATATGACTCACGAGAGAACTTCCTGAGATGCTAAAAATCTTTTTGAATGGGACCGTTTTTAAAATGTAGGTCCTCATGGGTTATGAAGAATCCCAATTTGGTTCGGGCACGATCAGCTTTGTTGCCGAGATATCGGCTTTTTACTCGAACTTTCCCCATGGGACCTGGATTTCAAGCAAAATCGGAGTGTTGAATGTTCATGTTGAAACTTATCACATATTGTAGCCCAGACCATTTGTAGTCTGATAAGAAAATGTCGAGGTGAGAACCTATTTCGGCTGAGGTGAAAGAATTTTTTCAAAACTTGCTCCAAGTCTTACCTTTGGTACCCAGATGGAAAAGGTCTTTTATCGCAACGGAAAGAGGTTTTCAGCTCGGCCTTTTTTCATCGGGCTATAAATGGTCTGGGCTACAATATGTGATAAGTTTCAACATGAAATTCAAAACTCCGATTTTGCTTGAGACCCAGGTCCCATGGGGAAAATTGGAGTAAAAATACGATGTTTCAGCAACAAAGCCGAACCAAGTTGGGGTTCTTCGTGGCCCATGAGGGGCTGCATTTTAAAAAATAGTCCCATTCAAAAAGATTTTTAGCACCTCAGGAGATTCCCTTGTGAGAAATCAAAAGTCAGCAGAATAAATGACCGTTATGGTCACTTGGGCCGATAGAAGCAACTTAATCATAACAGAAATCGTACAAAACAATTCGTACGCTGTCTTCTTGTAGACAAAAATGATATAAGAATTTTTGGTATATTCTATACATTTCTTACAAACCTCTTACGAAAATCTTATCGGATTCTTATAAGACACTTACGACTGTCGACGGAAAATCTTAAACAATCTTATATAAGAAACTGATAAGATTTCGATTATCACATACTACGATAACTCGAAACACGAAAGACACCACCTTTCTTTTTAATCTTTTTTCCTTTTTGCTCTGATTTATTTTTCTAATATATACGTATATATATATATATGTTCTTTCTGTTATGTGACCACGATAGTTTCACATTCTTTTTTCAGACAGCTAGAACAATACTGTACTCAATTTTCTTTCCAATCCAGTCGCCAGTGAAAATATTTACCAAAAGATCTGGGACGTAACTTGAGAAACGTTTTAAGGTTTAGGAAAGTTAACATTTAGGATTTTTTTTCTCAGGTTCGTAACTTTTGTTGCATTGTGGACAGATTTCAAGGGAATCCTTTATACTGGGATGTTCAAGTGCTGTGAATCGAAAAACATACAGCCATGCATCATTTCTAACAGTTTTGAGATAATTATGCAGTATGTGTTTTGAAACTGAAGAATAAAGAAGGTTTCCAGACAGTGTCCAAAAACATTTTCTAGAAAATAAGAATAATCAACTTACTGCTCTTTGGAATAGAAATACAAAGTGTTCAACAAAAAAGATTGTTCTATAGTAGAAAACGAGGATATTCTACATAATAACAAAGATAAAACACTCTTGATAAAAAGGAACTTTGTTAAATAAATGACTATCGGATACGTGACCGACTAAAGCCGTAACTTATGGACAAAATAACAGAAAAATACTGAAAGAAGAAAATGTAAATGCATGAAATTACTCCGCAATTGTGGTACGTAACAATTATCGAAATTGTACTGTAAGTTAGAAAAAGTGGATGTGACCTGCACGTGTTCGAGAGACTCCGTAGAGATCGTACATACTCCCTTGATTACTCCTGGATGTCGCTAGAGCAGAAAATCAGAACAACTCGCAGCATCATGGCTAAATCCCATTTTTGTGGGAAATTTATCTGGTAACTACCATGTTTTTCAAACTTCGAGTTTTGTCCACTGGGACAAGTTGTAACACTGAAACTCCGATAGTAAGTTAGTGATGCATAGTACTTGATGTAGTAAAAGTTCCAGCTCTTTACTCTCTGTCTTTGTAGAGAAATGCCTGATTTGGCGTCACAGTCGCGCTCTCTCAGACTATTCATTTACGCGCTCAGAATATTCACTTACTTGAACTAATAAAAAATAAACGCCTAAAACTAACGTAATAGTTAATCTAATAACACTCTTAAATCAATTATTACTTAAAATATTACAATGAGCTCATGTAATAGTTACACAAGAAGATAAAAGAATTAAAGTATTTAATAAAGGAACACTAAAAGGAAGTCCGAGTGGAATTTTATCGATTGAGGACGAAGTTCGGACTGAGGTTCTCTGGTTTAAACTGAAAAATAGCACAATCAAAAAAGGAAGTACAGAGAAAAAACTTTCGTTTGCTAAAAATAGATGATAAATACACAGTAATAATAGAACTTTCGTAGCATCGAGAGCCTAAACAAAAATTCTGATGTACTCTTAAGAGAGTCTTCGTGTTCAGAAAGCTATTTTCCAAAGATTGTATTAAAGAACAAAAAGACTCAACCGATTCATTTCTATATTCATGTAAAATGTGATTTATTTTGCTATAAACGTACCTTTCAGACGGTGTTTAGATAAAAACAATAACGATATGGAACAAAGGTGAAGTTTAGGCTTCTGAAATCAGATTTTGGGAAGAAATTGCAAAAAGTTGTATTAGGTTCAGTGGCGGTGCGAAGAAGTTAAAACAGGGGGGGGGGGGTAGTTTCAAGAACCGGGGTAAGTTCAAAAAGATGTTCTGGCAAGTTTGATAAAGTAAAAGAAATAATACAAAATTTGACATTTTTTCATTTCGGATTTACAGTTGTATAATCCGTTACCTCCACACTTCGCAGACACAGGAAGAAAACAGCATTTAAAATGCTGTTTTGAATAGTGAAAAAATGCTGCATTTTTTCCCTGTTCCTTCATATCCTTCACAAAACAACATACTACATTCTACGACTAGATTTATTTCTGGACCATCGTTCTACTAATTCTTGAGTATTCATAGCATCTACAAATATTGTTCCTATTCAACCACTACACTAATTTTTTTCGCGTCTTCGCAATAAATCAAGTGAACAAATCTTATAATCATATACGACTACATAAAAAAGTTTAGTCACTATTCCATATTAGATATATATTTGACGAAAAAAGCGATTCAATTACGTTTAAGATTACACTGATTTCATTCTTGATTATGATAGATCCTAACTGGACTCCAACTGGACTCGATAAAAAACACTCAAGTCCAAGGCTGTCAACTAATGCTTCAGTAGGGACTTGGACCCGTCCATCTTGAGAAGGAGGTGTTCCACCTTGTTCTAGCTTTTCTCGATTTTGTCACCTTTTTGTAGCAAAGATGGCCGGAAATTGGAGAAAACAGCCAATATCTGCGCAAAAACCGTAGAAATTGCAAACAGAAGTTTGGCAAAATCGAAGTAAACTCAGTCCATTCTTTCATAAAATCGGAGTAAGTTTTCCGTACTTTTGGCTCAAATCGGAGCAAATTTTTAAGGAAATATCTGAAAGCAGAGGGGGTGTACCCATCCCTCCCGCCCACGGCCACTCCGCCACTGATTAGGTTAATCTAGGTTAGGTTAGGTTTACGTTGTGAAAATTTATATAGGTTAGGTTATAGGTTGTCAAAAAGATACACTTACATTAATATAAAATGAATACTAATAAAAATGCTAATGGCCGTTTTCATGAGTATGTTTTCTGCCTCGGTGTTTTCGTCTCTACTTATGTATATTATATTCGCTTCATTCAAAATATTATCCTCTCATATTTCAACATAATCATTCGCCGAGCTTGTGTACCGTAGAAATGAAAATCTATACTAAACGAAATAATCTATTTTACACTATTTTCTCGAAAAATTAAAAAATTGATAACTCAGTCAACATTGTTCCAAACTGCTTTTAAATATCATGGTACTTTCTAATCAAAGAGCCGCTATTATACTATAACAAAGTGAGATAATGCATTTGTAGCTGTTGATGTGCTCTATAAAACAGTGCACTTATATTGCCAAACAAGCGTCTGATTCAGCTTTCAGAGCCAAAGTACAGAGTCGACTCTATGATCCAGGCTCCAGATCATGGACATGTGCAGTGAAGATATCCAAAAGCTCTCTAAAATGCTTCTGGCATAGCCTATTTGACTCAGTTTTTCACACTGAACACGACCATGATCTTAGATTTCGACTGTGACTGGCATTTAGTAAAGAAAAAAAATGAAAATTGGACAAGAACAAATAAAAAATGATTGTAAAACTGGATTGGAAATTTCAATGCGGGGCCGTTTGGGTACCACGTTCCCTTGCTTGAAAACTTCCAAATAGTGTGCATTTTGTAGAGCTACCTCAAAGGCAATTTCAGATAAAACTTGGCGGATGGTTATATCTTCTGTGATGGGCATGCCCCACTAAACTCACATTCATGAAAGCTGACTGTTCATAGTGAATGATGAAGACTCGACGAAAAATCTCTTTTTTTTCTTTTGAAACGAATCAGTCGGAGATATCAAATATATAGATGTGTAGTCCGAGATGTGCTCTACCAAAGTGAATATAGAAAAAGGGTCTTATAGTTTTCGCTGATGAGCAGTGTGATCGATATTGAGCAAGAATCTAATAGACTCATAAAAATTTGGATCATAGCCCTGTAACAGTAAACTGACTTTAGTTCCCAGAAAACTTTGGAAGTTAAATAGTTTTCTCACAAGCGATCAGAGATATCAAGTTTAGATTTTCACCACATGGACAAAATCAAAACAGAATAAAACGATAATCGTTTGAAGTCAAACGATCAACAACGTTAAGAGATATTGGAAAAATAAAATCAAAAAGTGACGGGGTATTAAGTGTGACAAGATGTTTGCTAGGTATCCTCTCGTTTCATCCCGTCTCATTTCGTCCCACACTTGTTTCGTTCCTTCTCGTTTCGTCCCACACTCGTTTCGTCCCATTTACATTTTCTATCATTCTACTCATTTATAACTATTCATTTTTTTCTATCAACTGTATACTAATTTAATTTTAACGAAGTCATTTTGTATACTCCATCATACAGTTTAACTCTTAAACGGAAAAGCTTTTGTAGAGAAACAATACTCATGAATGAAACAATGGCAAGTGGCAAAATTCTTAATTTTAACGATCATCAATATACAAAAAAACGCTCAAATAAATCAACTGATGACTGGCGTTGTCGAATTAGAAGTTGTAATAGTATAATTGTATTAGCTCGTGATGCTTCGACAGTTATTCATCCACCAACAGATCATTCACATATACCAGCAAAAGTTGATAAATTGAAAAATATGTGCAAAAAACGTGCAAGAGAAGAAACAACACCAATATCCCAAATTCATAAACAAGAATCAGTTAAATGTAGTTTAACACACAATGACATATCATTTTTACTGTCATATTTATCAATTGATTCATCATTTTATCGTGAACGATTAAAAAATTATCCAGAATTACCAAAATCAGTGTCAGATATTACGTTAACTGGAAAGTGGGGTACTGTACCGGGACGAAACGAGAGTAATCCGTTTGCTAAAAGTAATATGCTATTTTTTCTCCATCAATAAAGTGGTTTAAAATTTTCTGCTTTTTATCTAAACTTGTCCCTTCCGCTGTTCTATTGATTCCTTAATTTAGATACAATTTCTATCAAGTAATACAAGAGCTAGCGATAGGGATTGGTAGCGAGAAAAAAAAAGTCCATTTTGTCTGTATTACCGTTGATTACATAAATCACACGAAGGAACTTCTCGAAGTATATCAGTGCAAGAGTTGGCATAAACAATGTGACTGTACTGGTTACGGATATGATAAGTGTAATTATGTCTCCTTACCTCCTTAACTGATCAACACAACTTTGAATATTCAGTCAGCGCAGCATGACGCAAACAAACTTAACTGCCCTCAACATTATTCTTCCGTTTATATGTTTCGTTCATCGTATAAAACATTTACTCTCATATTTATGTGCTTTAACTAGACTTTTATGCGCGAAATAACGGGTGAAACAGGATCTGATCACTCATTGTCATTTGTGAAATTTGAAGCCGTCGCTTTTATCTTATATCAATAGCAGAATAAAATCGTCTTTAATATACCTATTTTATTATATTTCTTTCATCAGAAAAAATGAGTTTTTACTTTTCTGTGAGTTAGAGAAACATTTCTTAGTAGAAAAGAAAAATATCTAGAGGTCCATAATTCTACATTTACCCATTCTCATAATCTAACAAATGCAGTTTTTCTTTGTCTCATTACTGTCTTCAACAAATTTGATTTATTATCAAACATTATGTTTGTAGATAAAGTCATACTCGTAAAAAGGTCTCTGAACAATGCACTTGAATGATGTTTTAGAAAGCAGATAAACATAAAACACAGTTTTTTTAGCTATAAACGGATAACGACGATATCAACCCATTATCCGCTGTTGAGTATTGTTAAAAAAGATATTTTTTATTGGTTGAAATTATCAGTTATGGGCACATTTTATATTGTATAGTAGTTTTAATTGCAATTTCAAGTTTGTTTATACCACTTATGGGTTTAAAACTATCTGAGTTATGGCTAGTTAGAGTTAGAATTAATCATAGCTAATTCAACTTTTAGTCAAAGATTTACAATAGTTATAACTGCCAATCAGGATTGATAGTAATAACTCCGTTTGATAATGTCGATAACTATTTCAACTTTAGTTCTAACTGTGTCGTAATAAAAACTGAAATGAGCTTTCATAATTTTATTTTGGGTTGATACTCATTACTAAGGCTTATCCAAGCTGGAATAGTTATCACTCCATCCATTTGGAATTGTAACTCTTTCAACCACAGTTATATCGATCAACCCACGTTGATAGTTAGAACTAGGGTTTTAACTATATCAACTTTTGTAGAAATTTTCTCAACTTTTAACTTTCAAAAAATAGTTTTAAACCCGTCAGTGATTAATATATACATATTATACTGATTATCCTATTCATTATACAGATATGGGGATTATAAGAACTTTATCAAATTTTGTATTACCAAGTCCATTGATGGTAAATGCTAACACTACAAGACGAATAAATTCTTCTTCTGATGAAAATATGAAGCGATTATCTAGTTCCTGTAGTGGAGACAATGGTGTTAGAAAGACAGAAGGCTGATGTGCAAAATAAGTTTTAGATGAAATTATAAAGGCTTAGATAAGAACAATTTTGGTAAAACAGTTTGTAATAAGGAATAAATAATTGCGTATACGACTGCAACGAAATATATATTAGAATTTTTCTAAATTCACTATGATTTTATTCGAGCTTGTGATGATCTACTGTCATCATGGCCAGGAAACAAAACGACAAGAGGAATACATTATTCTAATTATTCTAAAAAATAAGAGAAGAAAAAACGTGTCTTTTATATATGTTGGAAGAACATCTTTAATAAGGTGTATAGAAAACAATGTAATCGGTATTGAAGATGACTACTATTTAAAATACTTGTAGTTTGTTTTTCACTCCATTTATTGATTTGCCGTAACTTTCAGTTGTAAATAGACTCTCTTTTATGACTCGTCTTGTCCAATCAGTCTCCAATGTTTATGAATTTTTCGGTGTACAACGATGCAAACGATGCGTTTTGTATCTTTGAAACAAATCAAGACATCGTACCGTAAAAATTCTTTTCAGCGACCCTGGAAACCTTTCAGCAAAAAAATCTTGCCTCGTTAAATGACCTTTTCTCAAAGCATTTTCATTATTCCACTTCTTCCACCTAGAACAAACCCAACCTATTAGACACCGAATTGTAATCGAGGAAAAATCAGTAAAAAACATGCTGATTACCCAAGCATAAAAAAAAATCTAGTATCGTCCGATCCATCCAGGTTACCAGATTTTTACTCGACTGCAGTTATTTAGTGACGATAGTGGAAATCTAGTAATCTGACGATTGCTCTGTTTCTCCTCAATGCAACTATCGATCTATCACCCGATAATCGATCGATTTAACTATTGCTAGTTATACGTGCAGACGTATCTAGTTAAAAGTTCCTTTTCCAACTACTAATCTAGATGACAACTAGTCATGCATCGCCCGATTACAGACAAAATGTATCTAGATTTTTCTCATAGGTGATTTTTACTTGGGTACTATTTTAGAGTTCATAGACTTGACTGGACTGAAAAAACTGTTTTTCTCGGACTGGACTAGATTTCTTTTAGTCCATGGACTGGATAGGACTCAACATTGTCAGTCCATACGGAGTGAAGATAGTTGCTTGTTTGTGGAAAGTTGATAAGATACAAAACAAAAATAAACTTTTTTCGATTTCCTTTTCTGGTTCCATTGTCAATGCATGAAGAGAAAAACTGGTGCGTTCTTCTGAATACAATAAAATTCTTATTCCTAAAAGCATATTAGTACCATATATGTGTTACTGATGACTAGAGATATCAAATAAATACAACAATCTACAACTTTGGAGTGCATTGGATATGGGTGAAACGTATACTCTAGTGGAACTGCTTGTACCCAAGATCTCGGGCACAGAAATGTTACGGGGTCTTCGAAAAAACACTAAGAAGTCAAGATCTAGGATTTTTGAATCTTCCAGTCAAGATCTAGGATTTTTGAATCTTCCAGTCAAGATCTTGAAATATCTTGGCTTACTCTACTCAAGATCTAGATCAAGGTCTTGGGAACAGAAATTTCAAGATCTAGAGTGCAGCAAGCCACGATGTTCGAAGTTCTTGGATTTTTGAATCTTTCACTCAGACTTCTTGACATTTCTTGAGTTCTTATTCCCTTGACTGTAAAGGAAGGGGTCTTATCGAGTTAAAATGCCTCTATGTTTGTATGTCCGCAGACTAGATACTAGCGACATACAGACTAGCAGAGCAAACTTGATTGGGTGAAAATGATATGGAGTAGGTAGTCCCCTATGGGGAATCAGAAAATGAGTACGAGCGACCTCTGCACGCAGTTCTATTGGTCAAAATGTTCCCTTGACTGTATAGGAAAGGGTCTTATCGAGTTAAAATGCCTCTATGTTTGTATGTCCGCAGACTAGATACTAGCGACATACAGACTAGCAGAGCAAACTTGATTGGGTGAAAATGATATGGAGTAGGTAGTCCCCTATGGGGAA